GTGGGAGGCATTATCTTCCAGGGGAGGAGCAGTGACCCTATATTTTAAAGAGGTTGTATAAGCCAAACCAAAATCCTGCCTCGAGGGATTTTTGGCATTGCAGAACACTGCTGTAAATGTAGATTTTGTTAGCTCAGTGTGCACGCTGCAGGTCTCGTAGCCATATAGCTCAGCGGGCGTACCGCAGGTCTCGTAGCCGTAAGCGCTAAAGGTCAGGGTTGTGTTTAGCTTGTAACTATCAAGTCTGTGATACACTATTAGTCATAGAAACTTGAGAAATTTGTTAAGATATTCCGAGGTTGATTTTGATATATTGGAACAGCTTTTAAAAATCCATCACAGCTTAAAGTGGCTGAGCCTGCATGAAAGGCGGTCGATTGAAACGCAGTCTTTAAAAGATATTATTCCTCGTGTGGTTTGTGATATTTACAATCATCTGTTCATTTTGAGAGAAAATTTATCTGTAAGTGTAAAAGCTGTCTGTCTGGAAGTAAATTATTTATGCATAATATAGTTAAAATATTTTCATGTAACTTCCCATTTGCAGGAATAGCATGAGATCATTTTAGCAACATTAGTTTTAAAATTATTCAGGTGCATATAAGATTTTTTTTTTAATGTTGCAGATTCTTCTTTAAAATACTTAATAATTACACTGATCCTCTCACCTCAGCCCTCAGTTTCTAATAAATCCCAGTTAGGCAATTTTTGTTAATCAGTAGTGCTTTAATCACTGTATTTTGTGGTTGTTTCCTTAGAACTTTGTTTATTTAAATCAGCTATGTTAAACGATAATTTTTATTGGAAAGATGCACAGAAAACTATGAACTAGTCCTGTCTAAATTGCTTATTTTCCTTAGTCATATTTTCTGTTCAAAGGTGGAGGCTTTTATGAAGAAGTCAAGTGACAAATGGATCTATTGGTCGATATGCATCTGCTTGTTCTATCCTGAAAAAGAGCCAAATTGCAGGGGATAGGGTGGGAGCAAAAGTGCACAGAATATATAGGTTTTCAGTGTTTAAACAAAAAAAGAAAAAATTAAAACCAAACCAAAAACAAGCAATCAAAAACCTCATGATCTGTTTAGTCTCTTATGCTAATTGCAGAAAAAAAAAATGTGTGTGTGTGTGTGTATATATATATGTATATATATATGTGTATATTTTACAGAACTCATAGAACGGATTACCAAATTGTATTGCCTAGCTTTTCCATGGATAGTAGTTAAGCTCAAGGCAATAACAAGCTGGCTGTCTTGCTCTGTGCAGTCCTGTGAGCTGGTTAGGTGGGGAATGACAGCTGCAGAAAGAAGCAATGTGGATGGGACAAGCAAAATGGGTAATTGCTTTCATGAGTGTTATCTGTCGTGTTATTTATTGGCCAACATTAACATACTGTTGCACATCAGGTAATTTTACTGTAATTAGATATTTTCTGATATATTAAATGCAAGTGTCTCGCATTTGTTCTTATCAGGGTATTTCTGCTCTTGAAGGCACTTGCAAAAATGTGCTATTTTTGTGCTTATTCTCCAGACACGTTAAACACAGAAATTTAAATCATTAGTTCAAGTAGCTGTTGTTTTCTGAGAGATAATGGCTTAATGGCTTATTATTTAAATTATTCTTTTCCATTCTTTATATATATATATATATATATATATATATATATATACACAGAAGGAAAACGTTTTGACTGTGTCTCATCAAGAAGATTTGTTTCTTTTTTCCAATGGCACACAAACAAAACACACGATCTTCTAAAAGCAGGAGTTTGTTTTCCTGGCAAAGTCTTTTTGGGAAACTGGCAGGTCAAATTCATCATTACTTGCAAGCTAAACATATATAACATGAAAGCTATTTAGGCATGCCTGAATTCCACAGTGCTATTTTGAGTTATTTTTCAGAGCACTTACAAGGGAAAAAAAATAATATATATATACTATACATATATATATATATATATATATATATATATTTAATGTTCAGCAATTTATTTATTTATTTTTAACCAGGCTTAGAAATAACAAATTCATCAAATTCATTTATATTTGTGAGGACAAATATTTTAAATAAGAGGGTATGTACATTTGGGAAAAAAAAAGAAAAAAAGAAGTAGAATAATTCTAATTTCAGCTGCTGATTTAGTGAGGATTTTTATTCTGTTCTATACTTGTGCTTTGTCAAATGTGGCTAGATAATTAATACCAAGTAATACCTGTACTTTCAGATTTTTACCCCATGATTTCTTGAAATTTCTGTTCTCACTATTTATTACCTTAGAATCCTACTATACACGAAGGGTTGGAATGTCGAGTATTAGTTATTTATTAAGCTTGTAAAGTTTATTGGCAGGATTTTCTTTAAGTATACTTAATTATAATACTTACCTCTTAAGGAAGTGTTTAGAGTAAAATACAAATGGCTGATTATTTTATTCTTGTATGTATAAAATCATTCTTTGACTTTTTTTTTTGGTGAAAATGTCTTTATGCAGCCATGCATTCTAGTCACAATGCAGAATTCCTAAAATGATTGCAACTTCAGAGGGTGTCTTTAGAACTTGGTTTCTGGTTTCTTAGTTTTTCTTTATTTTTTTTCTTTCTTTTTTCTTTTTTTTTTTTATAATTAAAAAAAAAATCTAGTGTGTACTTTTTTTTATAGAATCCAGAACTAGAACATCCTATTTTTAAATAAAACTAACAAAAAATCTTGAAAAAGAGCTTCTTATGTAAGATAGCCTTAAAAAGGAAAAACAAACAAACAAACAACAAAAACCCTTTGTTCTACTGTTTTGCAAAGAACTCAATCTCAGCTAAAAGGCATACCAACTTTCTATTAGTGAAATTGAATATATCAGAAACTGGCATATTTAATTGTGTTATGAAATTCTAAAATTCTTCAATGAAAAAAAGTGGGTCTAATACCTGGTTGTTGAAATGAATTTATTATTAATTAGTAGCATCTAGTTATTATCTTTCTGTCAAAGCATTTACTATATGTATATTTTACCCTATAGGCTGTAACAAAATGTTAACTTACAGACTTGCCTTAAGTTCAAGCACCTTGTTCCCGTTCAAAAGATAAACTTTCAATAGGCCAGCGCTTATCTGCCTGGCTTCCTGGCTGGCTGAGATTTAAGCTATACTGGCTCGAACAGCGCACGCAGTCGAACCTTGCTAACCTATGTGAGTGCTCAGCAAGAACATGGGGAATTGCTGAATTCTTATCAGTAAGAGGAAAAACTCAAAAGCAAAGATAATGAATCAGAAAAGGTAGCGTATTCATTTAAAGTGATATTGGTTTATGATAATTACTTCAAGTAATAGTTAATATTTCTTTTATAAGTTCATAAAAATGAAGAGGACAGTAGGGTATCTTACTGCTATGTGTGGCTACTAGATCTTCTGAAAGAAGTACTTATGTTTATAATGTGTAATATTGCGGAGATTGGCAAAAGGTAGATGAAGGTCTCTTTTTTTTTGTTTTGTTTTAATTATTTCTGTGAATGTAATGCTGGTGGTCTTTGTAAGGAAAAGATCTACTTCTGTTGAAAGGATAATGCAAAGAAACAAGAGAAAGGACTTCAAGGTAGGATTTATTTTTCTTGTTCCTATTGCCCTTGACAAACATGTTTTTTCTCAAGTGTGGTTCAGAGAAGTTGTTCTCAAATATGTTGCAGCAGATTCAGATGCCATTATATGAAGTGCTTAATATGGTCTGCAAAACAAGTAACTCTGCGATAACCGTGCAAGTGTTCTCTGCTGCTTTCAGACAGTCTATTTTTGACCTGGAGACCAGTATTGAGTCCTGGATTTTGTCAGGTCAGGGGGTGGACTCCAAAGACCTTATCTCTTTTTTTTTTTCCTTTTGTTGACAACATATCCTTGTCCTTCCTGGGTCCTGGAGTGACTGCTTGATAGTGCTGGTATTTAAAATACCTAGATAGGAGAAGGCATGGAAATTCCTTTTCTATTTTTAAGGATGCTCATTAAAGTTGCTAGCAAGGCTCAGTGAGACACGGGAGTATGGGACAAAACTGGGGAAGAACACTGTCAGAGAGACCAGGAATTCATAGAAAACCATGTCACCTTCAAGACAGCTTTGTTAGAGAGACATATGAAACGCGTAACTTAGGGTTAAATAAGCATAAACAAATTGCAAATATTAACTATTTTGTATGCATCTTCATTTATTTATTTTTAGAATGTAAACTTTCAGGAAAAGTATATTTTTCTGGTGCCTTTTGGAATTTTTTGATTTTTTTTGTTGTTTTTAAAGAACATTTTATTTATTTAAGAAACAGCTATTCATATGCTTTTTTAGATTTTCTGTTAGATAAGCAGCAGACACTCAATTATATACGTAATATAAATAAAAACAATATATATGTAATATATAATATAATAATATACCATATATGTAGTTATATATATGAATCATATATAGGAAAATAAAGAACAGAGGGAGGAGGTCAAATTCTTTGCAAAGTATTCAAACTGTGAAGAGGTGCATGGTCTTTGGAGTCTGGCAGTAACCAGATTCATTCACCTACTTCAATCAATTTTTGCTTTAACTGCTTAACATCTTAACTTGACGCTTCCCCCCTGCCCCAAATTTGTGAACTTTGCAATGTCAAAAGAGCAAAGCAGTTTAACGGTAGTTACTGCTCTGTCTGTGTTTGTGGGCTAATAATGCAGAATTGCATAAATAAAAAAGTGTAGGCTTTAATTGGATTTATTTATATTAAATTTATCATTATTATTTATTTATTATTACGAAATTAATGTGAACAAATTCACTGTGAAAATTTAAGAAATCTGTAGCAATAAAGAGTGTACAATTATATAGGAGAAATCATGAGTATTGACTAAAAAAAAGACAACTATTACAGAAGTTGTGCCTAGGTTCCTATTACAACAACACTTAGGGTAAATATGATTGGTGGCTTTAGCAAAATGGTAATTTTCTCGCTGTTTTCAGTCTTTTTCATATAGTAACAACTTTTACTGGAGAGGGAGAAGGCAAAAGGAAAGAGAAGAATCAATTTATTCAATAGAGGCATTTAACTAGTAAATGGTTCCCTACCTAAAAACACGTTTGCAAAATTTAAGCAGGACTTTGGAGGATGAAGTGAAAATGCATGAACCTCCGTATTACAAAAAAAAAAAAAAAAAAAAAAAAAAGTTCTTTCATGGAGCCAGGCTGTGTGTAAAACTACTTATTAAAATTTTTAAGGTGATTCTCTTTCTTCAACTTAATTATACCATGGGAAATGAATATTTTTTTCTCGTGGAGCTACCTGAAATTTTCATTTTGTTCAGTGGTCACTGAGGGTTTTTTGTGCAATCTAAAGTGGTATTTTTATGCCCACTGACATGAACTATCATTGTGTTATCAGCAATGGTGGTGAATTATACCTGAAAAAATTAATTTCATAAATAATATCCATTTGAGCTTGCATTAGTGTAACCTGGCATAAGATAGTATTTAACATACGTATCTGTATCATCTTGGGCAGTGGGTGCAAAGCTCTGTATGAGGAGTAAATACTGCCTGGGACAAAGAAAAACTGTGGAATTCTTTCATCTTTCAATATAAATTCTTAGTTGGTGACAGCGGGGTCACCCCACTGGCAGTTTGCACAGCGCAGCAGCTCATTTATGAGGTCTCCCCTGGATATCGTCAAGGCGTTAACTGCTGCCGGCTTCACTTTTACTGGTTGCAGTGTCTGTCTCACATGGTTTTGTGTAAACTGGTTTTAAAAGGCTGGAAATAATTTTGTGAAATCTGTCAAAAGAATACTCAGAATATTACTACAGGAAATAAAAACAACTGCTATATGTTGGTATTAATTAAAATTAAAAAGTAGTAAGAAGAGCTGAAGATATTCCTCGATTTTAGTACTTATTTAAATCAGTACAGACAATTTCTCAGTTACCAATTCAGTTGAAAAACAGGAATTATTTTAAAGCCACGGAATAAATCTTAGCCTAATTATCCCCTTGTTGTTGCTGGAAGGACAAAGTTCTTCGTATTTTTCAGGAAAATGCTGACACTCTATCCCATTAATTACTATTCGGATTGTTTCTGTTGCAGTCCTTCCCGTGAGCATTACTCCTGTATTAAATACATGCAGTTCTACTTGTTTTGTTAAATAAAACAATCAGGATCATACAGCTTGGTCAGTACTTGTCTTGGGAGCTTGTAATTCTGGTTACATAAATTTAAGTGCTCCTGTAAAAAGTATATGAATTTAACAGCATAGACTGCTCTAAGTACTCTCTAATTCTATGGCTTTCAAGCATAGATTAATCCCCAGAGATTCCCAGGGCTAGATAAGTAAACATGAGAACATTTACCTGCTAAAAGGCGAACGATCTGTTATACAGAGGATAGCATGTCGTTTTTGGATTTGTAGACTTGACATATGGAAGGAATTCATTTTTTCTTACTGTCACTCATCTGTCTTGAAAATCTCTCTCTCTGAAAGTGTAGAGGAAAGCTGAAAAGGCAGAAAAAAAGAAAGACATTGCAGAATGAGCTTCTTTGGTCCCAGTCAGATCCTCTGATTCCCGTTAGCGTTGGGATTTTTTCCTTAAACGACCTATCTTCGAGGATTTAAAAAGCCTCTATTTCAGTAGTAGACATAGCTTAACCCTTGCAACAGTTTGCATTTTATATGTTAAAGCTTGTCATGGTTACTTGTAAATTTACGAAACTGTAGCTCTAAGGCTTTTCATGTATCACACAGATACCACAGGTCAGCAGGGCATTAGAGCTGTGCTGAATGCAATCGCTTCCTCGAGTAGTATCTGGCTGTCCTTTCGCTCAGAATTACTGTTCTAATACAATGAGCCACGATTTTCTGTCTTGACTTTAGCTGGAGTGAAAGCTATAGCATAGCAGTGGCGTTGTGGGTTTTTGTAGCAGATTTTACTCAGTGTGGTTTAAATATAATGTTTCTTGGTAAGTGGAATGGCAAAGAAAATCTAGCAGTCATGTTGCTGATGCAGCATTGTGTGTCAAAAGACCGGAATTGCTAAACTGTGAGCTAAACTTCCCAATTGTGCCATGACCCACTGCAGATAGCACTTAAGCAAGTGTGTGAAGGAGTTTAGCTGTAAATTACTCGTTTGTACAATATATCAAATGTCTCCTTGTTGGGACAGGTGAGGTTTATTTATATTTTAAAAATAGTCCCAACTCATTGTTGAGACATATTAATAAAATGAGGAAATAATGACCTTCCTTAAGAATAATTTGCTCTGGAATGGTTCTTTATAGGTATCTTTCTTCCCACTGCATATATGTTATAGGCATATAACTGAGAAAATTATGCAGTTTACAAAATCCTAGTACACCAATAAATATCTTCTGTCTTATTACCTGCAAAGAGTAGCAGGAATTTTTTTCTTTCCAAGAACATGTAAATACATTTTATATTCCCTGTTCTCTCTTCATCATATTTCAGAGTGTGGCTGTAACAAAAATTACATTTTTAGAGACTCCTTTTCAGCTCTCACAATCATGCTTACATGTAAAGATGCAAAAACCATTGGTTTGGGGTTTTGTTTGTTATTCGTAAGTACTGTTGTAGCCTGAAGTTTTTCTTTTCAGCATTAACAGTTCTTTCTCTGATTCTTGCTTGAGAATATGTGTCGGGGAATCACATGCTGATATATAAGCATAATAAATGCTAATGTTCAATATTAAGCTTTGTTAAACAATCTGTAGAATCGATAAATACTTAATTCTCAATGAAATTAATAAAGGTCAAATATAAATCTTGGCTTCATTGAGCAGGAAAATGATCTTGTTGCATCTAGTTTCAAATCTTCCTGTATGAATAACTGATGTGGGACAGTTTGCAGCCCAAGCCTAACAAATTCTTGTCAATGGACTTTAAGTCCTAGAGCTATGATACTCATGGAAATTCGCTTACATTAACATTTTGGGCTTAGGAGAGAAACAAAACAAAAAAATAACCTGAAAAGAGTCCAGGGAGGTGTTGGTAATCTTGGCCCCCTTAAGAGCCCATGGAATTAGTGATTTTTCCTTCGTAGCACAATTGAGACACAAACCCCCTGTTTTCTTTAGCAAGAATGCTTGGACGCCCTCCAATCAAGTGTGAACAAAGAGTTGTCTGTCAGGGTCCCAGGAGCCCCACATCTGCTTTTTAAAACAGGATGTGGGGAAGGGTAAAAATCCACTACATCTGTGACGCTAACATGGTTTGGAGAACACCTGGAATTACCAGACCCAGCATTTGACGCTTCTGTCTGGAGCTCATTTCTGACAAATTAAATGCCTTAGGGGCCAGATTCCCAAGTCGTGTGGAAGCATGGTGCTGGGACACATTTTCCACCGGAGGATCTGGCCCCTGAAATCTGAACCTAGTAATTCTCCTTTGGAAAATAATAAAATAATTTCAACAAACAATTTCTGGTTTTATTTTATTTTATTTTATTTTATTTTATTTTAAAGTTACCAAAAAAAAAAAAAAAAGAGTAATTTTCAGTTCCTTTCAGTATCCACTCAAAATTTTGTAAGGAAGTGCATTATATTTATGCCTTTATTTTTGTAAGTTAGCTTCTCGTTAAGCTGATTTCACTTACTATGTCCAATAAGATAGAGAATGTAGAACACACAAACAGGTTGTGTAACAGGTTCATTCTGTGCCTGAAAGAGCACAGATAGCTGAGCATTTTAAGTAGAACCTAAAAATGTTCCCAGTGATCAACGTGAAGTGAAAACAGCCCAGGTATGTCATACTATCAACCAGCTTTTAACAGAATGTAATTCACCACTTACTCAGGTCATTGGCTAACTAATAAAAAGGAGAATAAGCATTTTGATGGGAAGTTTGTGGAAGGAATGTTGTTGCCTGACTTTTCTTTTTGGTTATTCATCTATCTCATTTTCAACTAAAGATGTTGTCACTTGGTGAATTTTGTCAACAATTTCAAAGAAGTAGCAAGGTTTCATTTGTTCAAAGCTTTCTTGTGTCACTGCATGCCATGTCAAAATGATTTGTTGGGTGTCTTCATTTGCAGTGGGAAAACAATGGTGGGCTACCATGTGCTGACTCTAAAATTCCTAGAAATCAAGAACAGTAATAGTAAAAATGTGTCTAGGCATGATTTAAAAGTTCTGCTTTCTATTTTAAAATTTGATTTAAATCCGTGGCCCAATCAGCTGTGTATTAATATGTGTAGCATTTTTAAAGATAGAAATAAAGGTTCTTGTTCAGAATACATCCTGTAATATGTTTTTAGAAACTAGCTGTAATAAAAAATGTAATTACTGTCATCTATATTTCTGGAATTTTAAAACTCGCAGGAGAGCTCTGTAGTGGGAAGGTTGACAGATGGATTTGTAACTATATGTTCTTTAAATTAGTAGGTGAGTATGGTAACAACCGCCTTGTGTATTCACTCATCATTTGTGATAGCACGACTGAGCGTTTCAAACGGAACGTTCAAAGTGTTCGATGTTTTCAATACTGAAATAAATGTGTATTTCGGAGGATATACAGTGCAGATGAAGAGACTGGGTGCTTTAATTTCTTATTAGTTTTTACGGCTAATTCCAAAAGTTGAGGCTGTTCATGGGTTGTTTTCTTCATTTGTTTGTTTTGGTCAGCTGAGGTTCTGCCGTTTTCTCAGGAGCACTGGTTTGCATGACGTGAACATGTAAAATGTGATTCTTTCGGAAGTAATCCTCAATTAGTAAGAAGGGTGCTTAAGTCATCTCTTACAAAACTGTCTCCTTAGATAGTCTTTAAATTGCAACAAACTAAAACAGAGCTAATGTCAGCGGGGTTGGTTACGTCCTTTTTAAGAGAGAAGTCTTTGAAATACTGCAACTGTAGCACTGGATATATCTACTTCATAATTTCAAATAAAGATAAAACTGAATGGTTGTTTTAAATTTAACAAACAGGGAGCATATTAAATGGAAAAGATTCTAAAATTAGGTGGTGGGAGGAAAATCTTGGTGACAAGAATTTTTAATCTGGATCGCAGATTGTCTTCACTTTCTTCTGTTAGTCTTAATGCTGTGTAATCCTCCATAATCTAAAACAGGGTATGCGCTGTATTTTTATTTTCTCTCCTGTGAAATAAAGTATCTGCTAAAGGGGGGCGGGGGGAAATGGTTAGACGGACTGTATGTAACAGAAATTTTCCCAGTTACTTGGGAAACTGTAATCATATTTGCTATAACTTAAAACTATTTTCCGTTGCTGTACGGCTGGCAATCCGTTAACCCTTAGAGAAATCTGAATTTCTGTACTGCTCTTCTGGGGCGTTCGAGTTGCACGCTGCTAGAAACCACCACTACTCTGTTGGCTTGGTGGAAAAAGGTACAGAAGAATGTTTCTGTGGATGCTGGCTGTTAGAGTAGAAACATCTTGCATAATATAAAAGCCATCTCATTATTTGTGAGCGAAAGGAAATTGTTTATGTTATTTTTTTTTTTTTTAAATAGTAACCTCTGATGCCAAGCTTCAGTTGGCAATTTTTAATCCTTTTCAGTCAAAGTTTATATTTTCAAAGTAATTTTTCAAGTAACTTTTAAGTACATTTCTGTAGTCCTAAGAGGCAGAGTGTAACAAAAGTATGGGAAAGATGAAAGACCAAGAATGGGGTAAGCAAAAACAATGAATCACTCAAACAAGGCATTTCATGAATATGTGAGGGTGGTTACAGTGTTACATAATTTCTGTTTCTTTGAAGTTAAACTATTAATATTAATGCTGGCAATGAAGTAAATTTTCCTGAAATCCTCCCTGCACTCAGTAAGCAGAATTCTGTGCTGTGCAAAGGGTACAGAGAACGAATGCAAAAGCATTTTGATGTTTTAATTAAATGTCAGTATACTACAGCCGTTGGAAAAATGCGAGCCTTTCATGTCAGTTCTTTGATGCATTTGTCATAAAGATTTTGGGGTATATACACAAGGTATATTACATAAATATTGTTAATTATCATCGATCCAAATATTATAATTCACAAGTCAACCAATTAAATCTTAGAGTATTTTAATGTTGCATTAAAAAAATTGAAATAATTGAAACTTTATTTTTTTTGTTTGCATGAGTTAGAGTTCTAGAAGGGACTTCATTTTTTCATCTGTAAAGCCATCCCTATCCTTTATGGAATGATTTTTGTTGTTTTAGTTCAGGGAAGGTGTTCTTGACACAAAAGTATGGTAGTCTTTTACATACCCATTAATACTGAATGGAAATACAAAGCTGTCGCATATATCAGGAATTCCTTCCGTATGTCATACAATCTTATTTTCCTTCGGCAGATGATGATGCTTATTTTTTCTTGGAGATTAAGATTTTTGGATTTTGAGACTTAAATCTAATTGTCTGCTCTGAAAAATTGACTTTCTCTTGGATACCTTTTGATTTTTATATCCAAACAGATTTTTTTTTCTGATTTTTTTTTTTCTCCAGGGATATATAAGGCCAAAATATTTGGGAAATATCTGGTAACTCCTGTAATCTATGAAGATTAATGACTGAAATAGAGGGAGGCTGAAATTACAGATAATGCAATAATCTGTCATTATAATGCAATAACTGAAAGTGTAAGAACTAAGTGAAAGCGTGAGGCTGCGGATGCCCTTTCCCACGGTATTTAGGGCAGGAGCAATCTGTCGGCACTGGATAAACGTACGGGTGCTTGCGATCAACCTGCCGTGTTACCCACCTTGCCGTGGATGTGCTTCGTTGTCACTCGTGGGGCCGGCTGCCAGCCAGGAGGGTGGGCAGTCAGCCCAGCAGAGCACGGGGCTGCCGGTGCCGCATGCCCGCAGCCTTGTGGCCAGCTCTCCTGCGCTCGGTCTCGCTATCGCCTGGGCTGCGGGGCGGCTGAGAGGTCTCGGTGCCATCGTGCAGATCCGACAGAAGTGCTTGCCTCTACCTCAAAGACTTTGTTAAGGATTAGAGGGGTTTTAACGAGGATTGTGTGGTTTCATTGCTCTGAGTGTTGGAAAATGCACTCCTGGCTTAAGCGGGTAGAGTTTATAGTCCGGCTTGAAAGATGAGCTACAAGAGGTTCCCATAATAGTGGAAATTAAGTAATGCGAGTTGAGGCACAACAGAGGAGACAATACACATGGGGAGAACAAAGGAAAGGAGTCACACGGCCAAGTGAAACAGCCATGCAGAGTAGTTCTGGGCATGCTCGGATTGCCTCGAGACAGCAGAGAACAATTTAATAGTAATATGCCAGTATATATCTGGCTACTGGTAAAGCTATACAATATGTTGCATACATTTTCATTAACGTATTGATTAAAAATAGAACATATTACTCTCTCTCATGTGAATGAACTGGGATACTCCCTGAGTGCAGTTTAAAAGATCAATATTATAATTTAAACCATAGAAAACACAGGTGCAGGGAACATAAATAAGATTACACATGCTTTAGCCCTTCCATATCATGAACTGTTTAATTATCCTTCTCTGCTTGTAACTGAATATAGGCAAACCAGGCTTGTGTTTATGGAGAGCAATGGGTGATATTTCTCATGAGATGCCTTGATGAGATTGCTGTATCATCTGACGCTCTTGACCAAAAGTCATTTTCTTACCTTCTAGCCTGTCAAGAACAGCAGACTTTTTTTTTACATCTTGATGACAGATGAGACTAGTGTGCTGCACATGGGAATCTTCTTTGTGTAAGAGGTAATGAATGAGTTTTATAGCAGAGGGTTAAGAAGGCTTGCTTTTTTATTTTCCTTTGTAAATGAGCATGAAGAGCATTGATGTGGGGATCATTAATGGTAATAGTCAACTCTAAGGAAAAATCACCTGTTTGAATGCT